TAGACGTTTTCAAGTTTGAACGCACTTGATGGTGAATATCATCCATCCTTTCCGATAACACTTTCACGAACTCTGACACATTCTCAGGCAACTCTTCATAAGGTGGGCATCTCTTATGCTTAGGTCCCCTTTAAGCACAACATGTACTGCATGTCCTGCACCATTCTTCCACATCTTGCCTCATTGTTAATTGTTATTGGTTTAATGTAAGTGGCTATTGTTCGGGACGAACAATACTATGGAGGGGGCAGTGTTGCGACAGCCGAGGTCACGTGAATAGTATCACGCCACGTCTTTCTCGAACCTTCATGAATTGTCTGGAGACTACTAGATTGGGGTAGTCTTGTATATATAAGATGGTCACAACGTGACGGCAACATTGTGTGTAATTGAACGGAGTATTGTTGAGTCGAGCACGTGAGACGTTCGTTGAGAATTATAGCGTTTGTTATAGGGCGACTATTGAAATTAAGTGTATCGCAAAGTTATATTCAGAAAGAATAAACCAGTTTTATTTAAGAAAGGACTTCTATCGGTAAAGTTTCTTCGGAAAGAATTTTTACGGAAAATTAACTTACGAAAGGAGACGTAACAATATAAATAAACCTGCTTGCCATCAGCAGATAACATTGTCAATAAACTATACAGAACTAATAGCCAAATTTACAAAGTCATTACAAAAATGGAAAATTACCAAATAAAAAACTAAATGGTGATGCTTTCTTTCCAGAGTGGGTGGTATGTGCCAAATCCGTTGAAAGGGCCTTGCATTCGCACAACATGGCATGTACACATAAATATTGTTTGATATATCAATTTTCGGAATTATATTTAAGTGTACTTATAAATAATATTCTATGCTTGCCGCTTTATTACTTTGAATTAATCTATTGTATCTTTCCAAATTTCTGAAAATTACGACGAAGATAGTCTAGAAAATACATTTATAGCGGTAAACTCTTTATTATCCACCGCCAGTAATTAATGGTAATAATAATTTAAAACTGTCGAAATGGTATATTTAATTGTTTTACACTCACGAAAAATAAACTTATCATTCTCTAGGTATTTGAAGAAATTGTAGCATTCCACCACAATTTAATTCTTTGTATTGTTAGTCGACACTGGACAGCTGGTACATAATTGAATAGAGTTGTTTAATTGTTGTTAAACAAATGTTTAAACAACTCTATTCAATTTAAAACTGTGCTTTATTTATTAACCGTAAAATCGTGATTTGATCGTACAGAAACAGTCATGTTTTGGTAACAACTGTGAACAAGCTAAAATCTGTTAGACCAATTTTTCACATCAAACTTTACATAAGTTTAGGATTCGATATCTTGCGTCCAAAATGCTATTGTGAAGTTGATGAAAAGTATTCTCAAAGCAAGACTACTTTTGCTTAGGATCTTTCAATTTTGACCTTGATTTTCACCTTAAGAATGGTTTTCAATATGCACACTTAGCACAAACAACTTCAACTATTTCTTGTTACTTTCCTTAGTTGAAATCTGATTAATCAAATCCACGTCTGTCAATCATTGAACAATCTAAGACAATGAAAGTGGTTGCAATAGGAAACAAAGTTTATAATTTTTACTGTTTCGCATTTTTTCGTCCTATTTTAACTGGATTCTAACCTATTGGACGACCTCTTCTTGACTGCTGGATACTGTGATGACCAAAACAGCCACTACAATTTCTGTACGATTGGCTCACGATTTAAGTGTTAGAAATAAAACTCGTCGTAAGTATGGGAGATAGAATAAATCAGAAAAAAGTACCCTAATAATATAAGAAAAATATTTTCATTTTCTTCCGTTTCTTCTTTATGTTTTGGAAAGACGAAACCACAGATAAGCTTCAGGAAACGCTCTTTCTCTTCCTGCGTAGGAAATAAAACGCCTGTAAATTTAGTACTTCGAGGCCAAGTGCTCTGAATTTCTCTCTTCTTTCGGCCAAATACAGGAGCCACGATTTTGGGAAAAATATTGGCCAGTATAGCTTTCTGAAATACAAATAAAAATGAGATTTATATTAATCTAACAGCGTATTAATAAACAAATCAACAGTTAACTTTACAAATTACAGTAAAAATTATAGTACTAGTAGGTTAATCCCACAGCTCGTGGATAGAGACAAGAGCGTTAAGGGTTAGATTCGTTGATGCATATACGTATTAACCGAAGTTTAATTAGACAGTAATTCATGTTCTTAAAAACTTTATTACAAACTTTTCTAGTTCTAGAAAATCTCTAAGAAACTAGATAAATAATGTAGTGTTTAAAAATGTAATAGGCCTAATACTAATGTCTTATGACAAGTATAATTGTAACATTTTTATTCATAGCTGTAATGGTAGCTTCTTGCTATAACAGTATAAGAAATGCAGTCTTGTAATCCTTTGTACTGATATACTGAATCAATGTGGAAAGAGCTCTTCCCGACAAGAACATGAGTTCATCTTAAATTTAAATAACTGATGATACATCAGTAGTATTTGTTTATTTGTAATTAAGCACAAAGCTACACAATGGGCTATCTGTGCTCTGCCCACCACGGGTATCGAAACCCGCATTCTAGCGTTACATTAGTAGTAAAAACATATCTCCTTTGGAAAAAAAAAACAGATTTTATTTTCTGGACTACAAAGACTTGTTCATTCTCGAAATATCTCCCCACCTCCTACCCAGTGGTTCACCCCTAAGTTTGAGGGCTTACCTCATTAAAAACCGGATTTCGATATTCATGGTAAGCACAGCACGGATTGCTCATTGTGTAGCTTTGTGCTTAATGACAAACAAACAAATATACTGGAATGGACCATGAGATTTCTTCTGTTGCTAGATTTTCTTTCGAGACATAGTAGCTAATTAATCATTTTAAAATAACCCCGTGTTTCTTCAATATGGGTGATGTTTCTCGACCTCTGCTATTCAGAGAGCCAAACTATTAATGGTATTATGTATTTTCAAACTAAATAGCACATTATGCGACACACAGAGTAAATGGCCAGGTCAGAGACCCAAAGGGTAGGGCAGGGCATACTATCCTTAACTTAAAAATGATGACCGGAGGGAGTGCAATCAGTCAACAGTACTTGCCGCCTATTCTTAGCCAAATAGCAGACTGACTTAGAGTTATACTGTGCCTTTACCATTCTTATCTGTGCATGAGAGACTATCATACATATGTAAAATCAGAATGCTGCATATAAATATTCTATTTTGTCATAAAATTTTACAGGCTTTTGTTTGAAAGCACATTAGGTTTTTTTTCTTTAAAGTATCCACTGATGTTGGAACAAATTTTACAGTGGAGTGCTGAAGAACCATTGAAAAAAAAAGAAAAAAGAGTAACCTTTGAGTATGATGTAAATCAAGTATTCAGTTGCTTTTGCATTAAAGCATGTTAATAAAATGAGGTCAGCATCAACCCATGTTTATCTTTTTGAAAAAAAAAGGGCTTTAGCCCCAGTTCTTGGCACAACTTTCACATTAGGTTTACTGTAAAGCATTGAAAGAAAACAAACCAAAAAGTGAATTAGACAACCTGACACTACAGATTTTTTATACTAGATATTAACTGTTCCTGAAGTGGTTAATGCTTTAATTTCTCATAGCAAATTTCAAGTAAATATCATGCATGGCAATGCAAGACTAGCAGGCATAAAAATACAAAATTTATCTCTTTAAAAATCATTCCGAACTTTGTGTGAAACTGAAATATAAAATATAAGCAGTTCAAGTTAACGCTATTCTCCTAATACAACTAGAAGTTGTTCAGCGCCCGCTAACTTAAAGCAGAGGGTACTACCACACTCCTAGTTCTCATACCCTCGTATCCAAAATATTATGCCCATCCACAAACAAATAATCTGTAGGTCATAACACAAAACAGGAATTGAATACTGACTAAAATAAATGATGAGCATGGAAGCAATTTTGTAAAATGTACACTAGAAGATGATGTGCAAAAAGAAAGAAAAAAGGAATTTAACTTGAAGATCTAGCATTACATGATAAATAACAACGACAATATGATACTCTTCTTGTTAAATTTTTGGTGTATTATCTAACTTCTAAAAATGTTTGTAAAAATAATAAAGGAAAAATACACTTAACTGTTTATGATATATGGGCACTTTTATAACTGAGACAGAAATTTTAGTTCACTTCATAATGCAAATAGGTTATTGTGACATTTCAATATATTTTATTTCAAAAACAGGGAGATACTTGACCAGACCAGAAAGGTTTGGTTTAAACACCAAAAGCTATTAGAAACTAACAGACATGACAGTTGTAATAAAACATAGCGAGGATTACAGATGTTTTCCCACATTCTTCTTAATTTGTCCATTTCGGATTTTAATTCAGAGGTGTTTAAAAATGTAATTTATGACTTATATTTTGCCTTCCACAAGAGATCTTTGGTTCAGTACTAGAACTTCTCAGTTGGGCTGAATGATGATGATAGAAATGCTATTTATATATGTAGAATAAGAATTTAAACCTTACAGTTTATATATCAAAAGCTGTCACAGCAATTGAAAGCAGTATGCCTAGCATTTGTGAAAAAAAGTCAAGTAAACTAGGTATTTTTAACATTCCTCTTAATTAGTCTATTTCAGAATCTAAAATGCTACTTTCCTATATCTATGATTTGGAATCCAAAATAGTTAACATTTTAAATGAAATTGGAAAGAAAAGCACATTTGTAGCTTAGGTGACTTATATCACTAATCATCAAATGTTATTACTAGAATTGAGTAGATAATTGTTTGATTTGGTTATTTAGTATGTTATGGACAGTTCAGTCTAGTTTCAAGCACAAGGTTAATTTACTTTTACTAATGCAATATTAATGTGAAATACTTAATCACATCATTCACATATCTAGCTACTGTTATAAAGATAGAGAATTTTAAGATAAAACAGGCATTACTAATAGTAGTAGTAGTAATGAGTGAGTGGAATTTTATAGGTTTGAGACATCTGTCAGGGTCAAGTATTCTAAGAACTTCTTTCTCGTATCATTTCAGTTGTTTTCTTTCTCCTTTGCACTGATTAGCAATGTACCTCTTAAAATCTATCTGCCGACCGTGAGGTGCTGCTTTCATTAACAAACTCTTTTCTGCCATGTCCATGAATGAGAGTACTGTTATTTTGTAAATGCACACTAACATTCACTTGGTGTATAGTTGTACATAAAGTCTTGTGCCCACAATACAGTTTTACTTTTACACATGAACATACACAAATAACCTTACTGTTACATAAAAACCCCTTTTAAAATTAAACTAAATTTTTATCAAAAAACCAGTTTGCCTACTATGTGGCATTTTAAAATTAATATTGTTACGTCTCTGTTCGTTTATTAATTTTCCGTATAATTTATTTCTGATGAATCTTCAGTGACACAAATCCTTTCTTAAATAAAACTAGTTTATTCCCTCTCAATACAACTTTGCAATACA